TTTTTTGAGACAGAGTCTGCTCTGTCATCCAGGCTGGAGTGCAATGGCGTGATCTTGGCTCACCGCAACCTCAACTTCCCAGGTTCAAGTGATTCTCTTTCCTCAGCCTCCTAAGCAGCTGGGATTACAGGCGCGCACCACCATGCCTGGCTAATTTTTTTGTATTTTTAGTAGAGACAAAGTTTTGCTACGTTGGGCAGGCTGATAACTCCTGACCTCAGGTGATCTGCCCACCTCGGCCTTCCGAAGTGCTGGTATTACAGGTGTCAGCCACCAAACCCAGCCTTTATGTGAATTTTACTTAGAGAAAAAATGTGTTTAAAAAAAGAGGCTGGGCATGGTAGCTCATGCCTGTAATCTCGGCACTTTGGGAGGCCAAGGCGGGAGGATTGGTTGAAGCCAGGTGTTCGAGACCAGCCTGGGCAACAAAGCAGGACCCCGTCTGTACAGACTTTTTTTTTTTTAATTAGCCCATTGTTGGCTGGTGTACCTGTGGTCCCAGTTATTTGGAAGGCTGAAGTGGGATGATCTCTTGAGCCCAAGAAGCCCAGGAGTTTGAGGCTGCAGTGAGCTGAGATCGTTCCACTGCACTCCAGTCTGGGCAACTGAGCAAGACTCTTGTCTCCAAAAAAAAAAGGAAAGGCTACGTGATGAGAAGACCTTGCTGAGGCAAGAGTGGGGTCTCCCTGGCTAATCTCCCCCGCTGGGCTGGAAGTGCCCCTACAGCCCTCAGCCTGGGCTCTGGGTGGCACATGCCATGCCTGTCAGCTCCTCCAGAAGAATTCAACCTCCCCCAACCCCCACATCCACCAGGCCGTCTGGCCACCATCCCACACCGTCCTCCAGGGGAGGGGGCACTCACTGCCCATCCTTGGTCCACTCCACCTGGGGCGTGGGAACCCCTGAGGTCCAACACTGCAGCTCCACATTTGCACCAGCCAGCCCCAGCACCTCCTGGGTAGCCCCAGCTCCACGCACTGAAGGAGGGACTGGGGTGAGAAGGGGTGAGGGTGAGGGGTGGGAAAACTGTTCGAACCCTGAAGCCTCACCTACCACAGGGCCTTTGTCTGTGCAGACCCCCCCACCGCCTCCTGGGTGTCCTGCCTCTCCTACCCGACTTTCCTGGGAAGCCCCCAGAACCCCGGCCACATGGGCTCGCCCTGCAACCCTCAGACCCAGGCTACTCTTTGGTTGCACTTGCGGCAGTAATGACTTGGCTAATCACCTGGCTGTCTACTGTCTGTCCGTGAGGGTGGGGGTTGGTCTGCCGTGGGCCCCTCTGTGCTCCCTGCTCTCGGCAGGTAAAGCCTCCCCTGTCCCCCAGTGTGCCTGCAAGAGTTGGGGCTACAGGGCCAGGAACACATGGGAGCTGTGGGGCCCAGGCCTCACTCACTGAGCACAAGGAGATCGAAGTCCCTCTGCGCTGTCCCAGCCTGGTTCTCCGCCCGGCAGGAGTAGAGGCCAGAATCACCCTCCTGAATCCTGGGGAAGTGGAGGGACCGGCCCCCATCCAGGAGGCGGTGGCCGCTCACCTTGGGGATCTGGGCAGGAGAGGCCAGAGGGAGCTGGTAAACAGGGATCCAGCCACCCCTCCAGTGCCAGTAATGAGGAGGAAACTGAGGCCCGAGAGGTGGCCAGTGACCGGAACGGTGCTGTGCTCTCTGCCATGCAGCTCCCTGCCAGGCTTCATCACGCGACCACAGCCCTCCACTGCCCTGAACCCCAGAGCACCCCCAAAGACACCCGTCACATCCCTCCGCCCCACCTTGGCACATGCAGGAACGCCCATCCAGAAGGCTCGTCCCCGGCCCAAATCTCACCCACTCAGGGGGACACCCACCAGCTGCCCATCCTTCAGCCACACGATCTCAGGGACTGGAAAGCCGCTCGCGTCACACTCCAGCGTCAGGGACTGCCCAGCCATGCCCGACACGTTGGCCTTGCGCCCGTCCTCTCGGATGCTGGGGGGCACTTGGGGGCAAGGAGAGTCGAGGAGCTGCTTCCCTGCCCCCTAGCACCACAGCCGAAGGGACCTCACCTGGGCCATTCCCTCCCTTTTGTCACTGGAGTCGGAGGAGGTCTGCCTGTCCCCATCCGCCCAGCCACAAAGGGCCCTGTGGACCTGCAGATGGCCGCAGCAGCCTTGCCCTGGGACCGACACGCCCCCAGTCATGCCCAGTCCAAGGTGCCACCCTTTCTGACACTCAGCTTTGCAAGGCGCTAGAGTCCCCCTAGATCCATCCGCTTCTACACCCAACCTGGTAACACAGTCACCGGGGAGGGTCCCCCTGAGTCAGAATCTCTGAAGGTAAGGCCTGGCCATGCTTTTGAAACAAACATCTCAAGCAAGTCATTACAGGGCGAGCCAGGGCAACTGATCCTGGGGAAGTGGCAGGTGGCATTAGGAGCTGTTAGAACTGCCCAAGCGAGGCCAGTTCATCCTGCCAGCGGGCAGCGCTCCCCGGCCTACCCTCACTGCCCCCGTTAAGGGGGTTCCCCTTTCTCTGCTCATAGCACCCTGGATGTGGGGGTGAGTGCTCTCCCTCCTGAGGACAGGAATGTGAGAATAGGCCAATGTTTACAGTTTAAACCTGGATGTGGGCTCTGGGGCTCTGCGCTGCCATCAGTGCTCATTTTAAAAAATAATTTTTAAAGTTTATTTTCTGTAGAGACAGGGTCTCTCTTTGTCACCCAGGTTGGTCTCAAACTCCTGGGCTTAAGCAATCCTCCTGCTTCAGCCTCCCAAAGTACTACGATTACAGGCGTGAGCCACTCCGCATAGCCAAGGGGTCATTTTAAAATGTTTTCACCTCTAGACCAATCTCAGACACTGATGGAGTTCCAGGTGTTTCCCCCATACTGTCTCCATGGGGGTGTCTCTAGGGAAGTGAGGTGTCCAATGCAACCTGCCACTCTCCCAGGCCCCTCAAGCCCTCCCTGTCACTGGCACCTGGTGGCAGGACCTGATCTTCCTGTGTAGGGAGGCCTTGGGCCCTGGAGAACTGTCACTGTCACACCTGGGCACCCTGTAGCCCCCAGCATCATTGTGGGCCTCTGGCCGGATGCAGTCCTGGGAGGAAGACAGGCCCTTCCCTGGGTCCCTGCTGCTTTCCTCTCCTGCCCCCAGCTCTGGCTCCCTGCTCACCATAGACCACCAGCTTGGCTCTCCTGGATGAGGAGCCCACCTCGTTGGTGGCCTGACACTCGTAGTCTCCACTGTCCATGGGTGAGACGGAGGCCAGGAACAGAGACCCCTCCTCCAGCACTGCCACACCTGGCCGGCCACGCAGGGGCTCTGAGGACGGGCCCTTCCGCCATGTGACCTGCGGCTTGGGTGTCCCTGGCAAGGTGCACGGAGTCATCAGTACATACACCCGGACACCTACCCCTCCACATCTGCACTGTCTCCCACCCATCTCCTCTGTGCAAAAGGGGCTGGTCCTCTAGGGATGGCTCCAGGCACCTCCGTCCCCCCGAGGCTGGGAGGAGCATTTCCCTCGGAGCTGTGGGTGCCCCCACACCTATCCACACTGCCCATCCTGATGACCAGTGGTAGCAGCAGAAGGTGGGTGGGAGTGACATGCCGATCTGCAAGTCTGGGGACTACACACGAAACACCATCCACACACCGCACACAAACATACACACCAAACACGACACACACCACACAGCACATACACACCACACACTATACACAAACACCACACATGACATACATCCCAAACACCACACACACCACAGGCCACATACACACCACACACTACACACACCACACACTGCACACACCACATACACAACATACACACCAAACATGACACATACCACACAGCACATACACACCACACACTATACACACCAAACACCACACGTGACATACATACCAAACACCACACACACCACAGGCCACATACACACCACACACTACACACACCACATACACAACATACACACTAAATGCTTCACATACCACACATACCACACTACACACACGACCATATATACACAACACACATACAACATACATACAAAAAAACCACACACTATATACATATACAAACACCACACACACGCAAAACACTACATACCAGATACATACACACAAAACGCCATACACACACCACACACACAACATTCATACCATACACCATACACACAGCACACAGCACACAGACCACATACCGCAAACATGCACACCAAACACCATACACACACCACACACACAGCATACATCACACACACCACATACCACATACATACACACCAAACACCATACACACAGCACACACACAACATACGCACCACACACCACACACACAGCATACATCACACACACCACATACCACATACAAACATACACACCAAACACCATACACACAGCATGCAACACACGCCACCTACAAACATACACACCACACACCATACACACAGCACACAACACATACAAATATACACACTAAATACCATACACACACCACACACATACACACCAAACACCATGCACAAATATGCACACAAAACACTACACACACCACATACACACCACACACAACACTACACGCTATACACACCACCATACACTATACACATCACCATATACAAATCCCAAACATATACATCACATACCATGCACACACCACATACTACACACACATTACACCATCTACACACACATTACACACCACATACACACCATATACCACACACAACACACACCATATACCATACACACCAAACACCATACACATACCACACACAAACATGCACATTAAATACTACAGCCATCACACACACAACATACACACCAAACACCATGTTCGTACCACACACAAACATACACACAAAACACTACACACACCACATACCACATACAACACAGTACACACTACACACACCGCACACCATACACACACACCACACACACAACATACACACTACACACCATGCACCCACCACAAACATACACATCAAACACCACACACCACATACATACCACACACCACACTACACACACCACCATACACACACATCACACACAACATACACACCACACACCATGCACACACTACACACACTACACATGCCACCATACACACACAATACACACACAATACATACCACATACCACATACACACCACACAACACACTACACACACAACATACACACCAAACACTACACACTACACATCAAACACCACATACAACATACATGCCAAACACCATACACACACCACACATGCCACATACTATATACACCAAACACAATACACATACCTCACACACAACATACATACCAAACACCACACATAACACACACCAACCACACACCACATACACACCACATGCTACACACCATGCACACCAAACACCATACACACACACCATACATTCACACATATGCACCACAAAGTACACATCATACACACACACTACACATCAAACATGCACACACCACACACAAACATGTACACCAAACACCATACACACATCACACACTACACATACCAAAAACTATGCACACACCACACATCACACACTGCACACACCACACACCACACGTATGCACCACACACTGCACACCATACACACATACTACATACACATCAAACATGCATGCACCGCACACAAACATATACACCAAACACCATACACACGCCACACATCACAAACTACACACACCAAATACCATACACACACAATACATACAAATACATACTAAACACTATACACACACACTGCACACATCAAACACAATGTACCACATACACACCACAGACACCACATACAAACACCATGCATACCACACACACAACATACATACCAAACACCATACACACACACTACACATTCACACATACCACATACACATCAAACAACATACACCACAAACATATACACCAAACACCACATACCACACATCACATACCACACACACCAAACACTATACATACACAATACACACAACATACATACCAAACACTACACACACATAGCACACACCAAACACCACATACCACATACTCACACCACACACACCAACACACACACTACACACACACAACATACACACCAAACACCATACACACACTACACACACCAAACACCACGTACCACATACACACCACACACCATATACACACCATATACACATTGTGCACACCACACACACAACATACACCAAACCCCATATACATAGACCACACCCCACATCCACACACACACACATGCGCGCACACACACACGCGCACCGCCGTCTCATCTTCCTCAGCTTTCCCGGAGAGTCCCCGGACTTCCCGCCACCCCGGGGACCAGGCCTTCAGGGCTGCTGGTCGGAGCGGGTGATGGGTTTCTGCTGTGGAACTCTGTTTAGCACAGACAATCTCACCCTAAGGTCTCTAGTGCAGGACGGCCCTGAAGCTCTGCGACAAGGAAGTCCCCAAGCACTAGCTGCTGCCCAGAGTCACTCACTTTGTCCCCTCCCCACTGTGCAGAGTCCCACACACGACACACCACACATACCACATACCACCAAGCGGGTGTCCAGGCTCTGGGCCTTCACGCCCCACCCCACCCCATGAGGAAGAGGCAGATGGTGTCACTGCAGTGCCCAGGGAGTCCCCATGAGGGTGCTGGGCTCAGTCCCATCCCCGTAGCCCTCAGAGCCCTCCCAGCCCAAGGCCTGGGGCCGGATGGGTCCCACCTTCCACCATCTCCCACTTCCCAAAAGCGCAGAACGGCTGCTTGCTGTTAGCACAGACCAACACAAGGTGGCGCCATGGTCAAGGGCCCAGGACGGCGGTGGGAGGTGGGGGGGGAGGGTGCCATCCCGGGGGGCTCCCAGAGCTCCCACCCAGGTGCTGCCCCCTGCCTAGGTGGGTGCCAGCCCTGCTCCTACCTGCCTCTCCCTTGGTCCTATTCTGGGGCCTTCCCGGGCACCCTGTGGCTCACAGAGGAACGACCAAGATTTCAGGTGCCCGCCAGGCTTTTGTGACCTGCCACTTGCTACCAGACACCAAGCACCCTCCAGAGAACCTCAACCCCACAGAGAGGTGGCGCTCCCAGCTTCGGAGGAGCCCAAAGCCTAGGGAAGCAACTGAGGCAGTGGCAGGGGCTGAGGAGGGATCTGCCGGGTGGGGCCGGTGGGGGGTACGCCAAAAGCAGAAGCCAGGCCTCCGGCACATTTCCCGAGCCCTCCAGGGGTGCCAGCCCCTTACACACATGGTGTCCTGCTGAGTTCACAGCAGCCCCACGCGGAGGGGCCGGTACAACCCCGAGGTAGACAGGGAAGGTGAGGCTCAGAAAGGAGATGGACACTGTCCTGAGTCGCACAGCCAGGAGTGGCTGGGGCAGGGCTGGGCGCTGGGCAGCTGACCTAAGGTGGCTGTCGGCCCCACACTGGGCTCCTGCCCCAAAGACGAGCCCAGAAAAGCTGGTTTGGCCAGGACCACTGAATCCATCCTCTGTGGGAAAGTCAGGGGCATGGAGAGAGATGGGCTGACCACCACGCCCAACACACCAGGACCCTGGGCCGCCCTCAGCACCGGCAATCCCACCCTCAGATGCTGATGGGCACGGGGGGTAGGGCAGGGGTCACACTTGTCCACACTCTGAGTCGCGCTCTGGCTGTGTGACTTCAGCAAGTTACTTAACCCCCTTGGGCCTGGACTGGCCCTAACAAAAAGGAGTGACTGCTAACGCCCAGCCTCCAGGGTTGGCAATGGGCTCACAGAGGAACTACCTGGCACGGTGCTGACCAGAAGCACATGTCCCGCGGCCTCTGCCTGCCATAGGCAGCCCAGGGCACTGGAATATGAGTGGAGGCTCCTTCCTAGGCCAGCCCATCCCTCACCTCCCCAGGCCCGCCCTAGATGCAGCTTCACCTCTGGCAGGGCACGGCAGGCTGGCGTTCTCTCCGGCCACTCGCTCCAGCAAGCCACTGGTCTCATCAGCCCCCCAGTGCGGTGGCTCTGGAGGGAAGCAACACGACCACGCTCATCCCTTGAGCCCAAAGCCTGGCACTCCCACCCCCTGCCTCCAAGGAACCCAGGGCCAATGAGGAAGCATCCCCTTCCAGAATCCCGGCCCCTAGACTCCTGGCAAGTCAGGGCCAGGGGTATTGGCTCACCCCTGCAGGGAGGCCCCATGGTGCAGCCACCAGGGCCGAGCCCCACAGGCTGGGGAGGCTGAGCTGTGCCCTTAGACAAAGGCCACATGTGGTCCCTCACAGCAGTGGCTTTGCAAGTGTTTTTTTTTGTTTGTTTGTTTTGTTTTGTTTTTTTAAGAAACAGGTTCGCTATGTTGGCCAGGCTAGTCTCAAACTCCTGGGCTCAAGCAATCCGCCTACCTCAGCCTCCCAAAGTGCTGGGTTTACAGGTGTGAGCCACCACACTCAGCCCCAAGCTTGTTTTAAATTCCTAATAGTGAAACTGCTAGCACCACTGATCCAGAACTTTCTATGCACCAGGCGCTTCACACACACTCTCATGGACCCCTCACAGAGTATTGGACCCACTTTGCAGGTGAGAACACTGGGGTCACAGAGTGTAGGTGGCTGGCTTATGACTGTCCGGATGGCCCTGGGTCCAGTGCTGCTCCCCGGTCCCTGCCCTAGGTGCCTCTGTCCACCCAGGTCCTGAGAGGGCCCACAGGTCACCACCCAAGGGGAAAGAGTGCAGGGAACCCCTGCTGGGAGCTCTGAGACTGGTCCATGCCCACGGGCTGACAAAGGCTCCTAGACACAGGATGGCCCAAAGCTGTGAGATCCCAGAGAGGGCCAAGGCTCTATCTGTCCCCGGAAGGAAGCGGGCAGGCACAGAGCCCGGAACAGAGATGAGCACCTCCCAAGTCCAGGCTGTGCGGGGAGAGCTGGGGAGAAGTGAGTTCTGGGGCAGGGAGACTCACCTAGCACTCTGAGCTCCACGTCCCAGGCATCTACCCCGACGCTGTTGGAGGCCTCACAGTGGTACCTCCCGGCATCAGAGGTTCCGATGGCTGTGAAGTGGACAGAGCCCTCAGGCCCCCGGCCCCGCAGGGCCACGCCATCCTTGGACCAGCTCAGCTGGGGCTCTGGGTTGCCCTCAGCCACACAGTTCAGATCCAGGGCTTCTCCCACCAGCACCTTCAGAACCCGAGGGCCTGGCTGCACCTGAGGGGGGACTGACGGGCCACAGGAGGGGCATCAAGGTGGGGGGACCCAGGTGAGAGGGTCCCAGAACCCAGACCCAAGCCACATCTCAGATGTCACCGACCAGCAAAATTGTCATGGAGCACAATCGAAGGATGGCAGGAAAAGATATTGGGACACCCACGTGGACTCCCCTAAAGAGAGTGAGCTCCGGTCTTTCACCTGAACACACACTCTCATGAAAGATTCAACCCTCAGGGCTGAGCGTGTACCTCCCTCTGCCCCCGCCAATGTGCCGACTCCATTTAAAGAAGCACCACTCGGGGCCAGGCGCAGAGGCTCATGCCTGTAATCCCAGCACTTTGGGAGGCCGGGGTGGGCACATCGCCTGAGATCAGGAGTTTGAGCCCAACCTGGCCACTATGGCAAAACCCTGTCTCTACTAAAAATACAAAAATTAGCTGGGTGTGGTGGCGCACGCCTGTAATCCCAGCTACTTGGAGGCTGAGGCACAAGAATTGTTGGATCCCAAGAGGCGGAGGTTGCAGTGAGCTGAGATCGTCCCACTGCACTCCAGCCTGGGCGACAGAGAGAGGCTCCATCTCAAAAAAAAAAAAAAGTGCCACTTGGAATTCATTCAGCTCAGCGCACATGGGGGAACTGAGGCAGGGCAGAGGGACTGACTCATAATGGCCGAGCAAGTTTGGGAGGCAGCATGCACAGAGATGGTTCCAATCCTATTTCAGTTCCTTAGAGCCAAAGGACCCCGCTCCAGCCAGAGCCTCAGTTTCCCCTTGTCACAACCCCTCCCGCCCCGCAGGATGAAATGAGGTACAGCACTAAAGCAGCCAGCACAGAGCCCGGTGGCTGGAGGCACCCCGGCTGGATGTCATCGCTGCCCCATCCTTCCCTCCCACAGCTGTGGTTTCCTGTCCTTTTCCGTTTGTGGTTTCAAATCACTTTCTCATCCTCCGCTCACTTGGTCCTTCCTACTCGGCAAGTGGTACCACCCACGCCTGCACATTTTGCAGAGGAGGATGCTGAGGCTCAGAGAGGTTATATGACTTGGCCAGAGTCACCCCCTCCCTCAGTGGAGAGGTGCTGGCATCAACCCTGGGTCTGAGTGTCCAAGGGCCCAGGCCGCTGCGGGGCCAGACTGGGTGGGCACAAGAGAACTCTCAGAGCCCAGGGGCCACCCTGCTCCAGGCACTGCGTGGGACAGACCCTGGGCCAAGTATCCTGGCCCCTTGAGGGAAGCTGAGGTGCACCCACCCCCTTCACAGCTTCTGAGAAGGAGCCTGGATTATATCACCCATGGGAACCTGGCCCTTGGGCAGAGACCAGCCCCTTGGCCCATGGCCTGAGTGCCAGGAGTGCTCCCTGCCCAGGAGCACAGAGAGCATGGTTGCCCTGCCCACCTGTTGATCTCTCTCACACACACCCACTGAACACAGTAACAGCTTCCACTGTTCTGAGCATTCAATGTCCTTGAGACCTTCTGACCACCATGGGATGGGCTTTATTGTGGCCTTCATTTTACAGAGGAGGAAAGCAAAGCTCAGAGAGGCCAAGTGTCTGGCCTAAGGTCACACAGCCAGTCAGCAGCAGAGTCAGGATTCAGGCCCAGCTCTGCTGACGTTGAGGCCCTGCTCATTGCCCTGCCCCCCGTTCCTGTCTCTCACACCCCCATGCAAACCCACGGAATCCTGGAGCTCCTTCCCCATCTGGGCCTCAGCCTGTGCATCTGTAAAATGGGGTTTGAGCTTAGATCTGGAGCAGCACACTTTCTGTAGAGAGTAGGTGGTTGGAATGGCGGGCTGTGAGGCCAGGCAGGCTCCCTCCACTTCCCACCTCTGCCGTCAGGGGGTAAGGCAGCCACAGGCTGCACGTCGATGAACGCGCGCGGCTGTGTTCTGATAAAACTTGTATTTATAAACACTGAATTTTTTTTTTTTTTTTTTTGAGACAGGGTCTCACATGTTGCCCAGGCTGGAATACAGTGGCACGATCACAGCTCACTGCAGCCTTGACTTCCTGGGCTCAAGCGATCTTCCTGCCTCGGCCTCCTGAGTAGCTGGGACTACAGATATGGACTCTTGCAAGAGAGTAATTTTTTGTTTTTTGTAGAGATTGGGTCTTGCTATGCTGCCCAGGCTGGTCTCAAACTTCTGGCCTCAAGCCGTTCTCCCGCCTAGGCCTCCCAAAGTGCTGGGATTACAGGCATGAGCCACCATATCTGGCCAACACTGAAATCTGAATTTCAGATAAATTTGAAGTGTAATAAAATATGATTGGGTTGGTTTTTGGTGCATGTCCAATTATTTTACCAAGTGGAAGCTGTTCCTCACTGTCTCTTGATCTCTGAAAACAGGAGGGCAGATGGGACGCTTGGGCCAGAACCAGGCCTGTCTCGGAGGCCTCTCAGTGTTCTTGCAGATGACGAGCACCCTGACTCTCTGGTGCAGGATTCCAAACCACTGGCTCCCTTTGAATGAGCCCTCAACTCACAGGGGAACGCCCACTCCTGGGACCTCGCACCGGGATGGGAACCAGAGCCACAGTGGGGTGCGTGGGGACCTTGCCAGGAGGAGGGGATCGTGGAGACAGCGCGGCACCCCCTGTTACAGGTACACAAAGTGCCTCGTTGATGGCAGTGTGGGAGCAGGGGCTTGGAAGGGCCTCTTGGGGGGCATTACGTGCTCCCCGCAGGAGGGGGCTCTGTGGCATCTCACAAGCCTCTTCCCATCGCCACGCGCTGGGCTCCTGGCTGGGCCTTGCACACCAGGCAGAGACGCTCTCAGACCCACCTTCATGGGTTCCCCTCTGACCCCCACCCAAACCCAAGTCCCCACTGGGCTCTGCCCTGTGTTCTCGGGGGCCTCTGAACAGCATCTCCAGGTATGGGGAGAGGTGGAGAAAAAGGGTAGAGGAGGAGAGAGGGTCTGAGAAACAGGAAGTGGGGGTAGCGAGAGGAGGTGGCAGAGGCGGCTGCAGGAGGGGGACTGAGAGGCTTGAGGGGCAGGTGGGGTGATGGGGGACACAGAGGGACTGGGGCTGCCAGCTGGTCCTACCTTGCACCCCAAGAATGTAGCGACGGGAGGCGGACCCCGCGGGGTTACTGGCTGTGCACTCATAGTGGCCGGTGTCATCCACCTGGACCTGGGCCAGACGCAGAGAGCCAGACGGGAGGAGGCCATGCCTGCGGGAGTGGGAGCACTGGTGAGACCCTCACTGACCTGACCTCCACGGGAAGGCTTCGAGACCCAACTTGAACCAGCCACCTCTCCCAGGAAGCCTGGGAATGAGACAGCACCCACAATCTAACCCCTACCCCTGCCTCCATCCTCCCTGAACCAGCAGGCCAGGGCCAGTCCCACGCCTACTGGTGTAAGAGAAGAAGAGCACTGGACTAGGAGTCCACTGGCTTGGGTTCGAGTCTAAACTCTAAATCCTTCCTAGCTGTGACCCTCAGGGAAGCTGCTTCATTTCTTGGAGCCTCCATTTCCTCATCTGTAAAATGGGCATGCCAAGATGGCATGTGCCTGGGCCAGGGCTGGTAAACGGATTCCATCACAGGCTCAGCCCAGGGCCAGAAGCCTGCCCACCGTTTGACACCTGTTGACTGCAGTGGCAATGCCCACTCCTCTGCCACACACACCTGCCCTGCGTGTGGGATGAAGGAGAAGCTGGCACCCCTGAGGCCCTCTGGTCTTGTGCCAGGGCTGACCTGTCTCTGACAGCAGTCCCTTGGTGCTCCTATGTCCAGAGCTGTGTTGAGGGCCCTCAGGAGGAAGCTGCAGACCTCTCACCTGCCCCACCACTACCATCGCCACCCTCCCCAGTCTGGCTCACCTTGCTAGTGTCACATCACCCCCATCCCACAGGGATCTAGGACCCCCCAGCCAGGCTCCTGCAGCTGGGCTGGACCCCAAGGGCCCCCCGCAGACATGATGTCACCGGCCCATATGTGCTGGCTCTGCACAGCCCCTTCCTCCGTAAAATAGGGAGGGCAGCTGTGGCCACTGACCCTGGCTGGCCCCAAGAGCACGCAGCCAGCATGGGGGCGGGGGACTCTAAGGGCCAGCCGCTGGCCCTGCGCTCAGCAGCTGGGCTCTAGAACTCAGCAGGCCTGGGATGCTACAGTCCTTGCTATCTGGGATGCTCCCGCCTTGCTATCTGCTGAGGCTCAGTTTCCTCCTCTATAAAACAGGGATCACAGAACCCCCTTATAAAATCCTTAGGGCTCCTCATAGCCCCCACCTCTCAGGCAGCCGCAAGAATCACATGAGATGCGGTAAGTGAAGTGAGGGCCATGCAGTCATTATCAAGGTCAATGCCATCATTCATTCCCTGTGCAACCTTGGGCTACGGGCTTTGCCCGCTGAGCCTCTGTCTCCCCATCTGTAAAGTGGGGCAATGACACCCCTTCCCAGCCACCCCCTCCATCCTTTTGCCCCAAGCATCCAGCAGCCTCTTGGGACAAGTTCTCTGAGGGTGGCTGTGGATGGCACAGTGGGTGGTGGCACTGGGCTGGATCGCCTCGGTCTAACCTGCTTAGCCATGTGCTTCCTGTGTGAGGATGGACAAGTCGCCTCACCTTCCTGTGCCTAAGTCACCTCGTTTTGGAAAATAGAGCTGTCAGCTGTGCTCGTCCCTCACAGGCTGTCAAAAGAACCGAATGACCTAATTCACAGCACAGCATCTGCAACAGAGAGGCACTCAACAGTCAGCTGCTTCCACGGAGACAAGAGCACACGCGTAAATAACACACAGTGCTGTTTTGCATGTTTGAAAACTTGCATCATGAGCTATATCACGGCATAAATGGCATCGTGAGGATGTATATAGGTCTAATTCATTCATTTTTGACTGTTGTGTAGTATTCCCTTGTATGATTACACCACAATGTATTAACTTGCTCCCTTTTGAGGGGACATTTAAACATTTAGATCTTTCTTTATCTCTTCCTTTCCTTCCCTTCCCCTTCCCTTCCTCTTCTCTTCCCTGCCTCTCTCTCTCTCTCTCTCTCTCTCTCTCTCTCTCTCTCAACAGCAGAGCTCTTGACACACTGCTTCTGTATCTCCCACGCCCCAGAGCAGGTCTCCTGGACTACAGGCTCACACCCTCTGCTCTCAATGGTCTCACACCTTGTAGGGCAGGGGTTCTCATCAGAATCTCCCAGCTGCAGGTGAAACATGCTGATTCTCAGGCCTTACCCAGAAACTCTGATTCCATGGAGGAGGTGGGAATTGGGGTTTTGCTAAAAAGCCCTAGGTAGCTGATACAAGTGGCTGGGGAACCACCTCCAGGGAGCCACTGCCTGGGGACATGAAGACGTGCCCCTTTCCCGAGAAGCAGCATGGCAGGGCAGATGGGCGCAGGTCTCCGATGGTAAGTGTCCTGGTGAGAACCACCATCCTGCCTCTTACAGGCCGACCTTGGGCCAAGGATGCCGTCTTCCTGAGTTTCAGGGTGCCTATCCAGAGTCACAGGAGGCGGCACGTATGAGCTGACATCACGCACACAAAGCCTAAGGTGCTGGGGACATAGTATACGGATGACACCTGCTCATCTTTGAATACTGAGACACCACCTCCTCCAGGTCACCTATACTGCCTTGCTATTCGTGTGATACAAATCCCCAGCCAGGGTCTGGGATCTCTCCCTGGACTTCAATCAGCTGGGCAGCCCTGAGCAGGTCGTTCAGTCTTTATAGTGCAAAGGAAAAAGTGGGAAAACACCACATCGGTACGTGTGTGTCTTGGCAAGGGGTAAACATCTCTACTGCAGCATAGCTCTACTCTGTCTGCCACTCCAGCTTGAATTTTCTTTTTTTTTTCTTTTTCTTTTTTTTTTTTTTTTTTTTTGAGACAGAGTCTTGCTCTGTCGCCAGGCTGGAATGCAGTGGTGCAATCTCAGCTCACTGCAATCTCCACCTCCCAGGTTCAAGTGATTTTCCTGCCTCAGCCATCCGAGCAGCTGGGACTACAGGCGTGTGCCACTACACTCAGCTAAATTTTGTATTTTTTTTTAAGTAGAGACGGAATTTCACCATGTTTGTCAGGATAGTCTTGATCTCTTGACCTCGTGATCCTCCCGCCTCAGCCTCCCAAAGTCCTGGAATAAAAGGTGTGAGTCACCACACCCGGCTTTAAATTTTCTCTTCTATGATTTTTTGAAAAATTAAATAATGTTGATATATCGATACCCACTAATCAAGAGCCAAACCCATTTGATGCTGAAACTGATACACTCAATCACATTCTAGGCTGGGATGCAGTTCGCTCCCTGGACATCGTCGCCATGCCTGGGCTGGCAAACAGGGGTAGTGTGGGTCAGTGGGAAGGTAGGAACTGGAGTTCTGGATCCGAGGTCCAACTGTGCTTCAGACATGCTGTGCAGCCCCAGGCAGGGCAGTCAACATCTCTCAGCCCCATTTCATATTTGAAAAGGCAGCACCCAGTCTGGGTAACAAGAGGAGACCTTGTTACTACAAAAAATAAAAATTGGCTGGGCATGGCGGCACATGCCTGTGGTCCCAGCTACTCGAGAGGCTGAGGTGGGAGGATCACTCAAGCCCAAGAGTCTGAGAGCTCTGGTCATGCTGCTGCACTCCAGCCTGGGAGACGGGGCAAGACTCTGTGAAGAAAAAGGAAGGAAGAAAGGAAGGAAGAGAAGGAAGGAGGAAAGGAGAAAAGGAGGGAAGAAGGAAGGAAAGAGAAAAGAAGGAGGGAAGAGAAAGAGGGAGGGAGGGAAGGAGGAAAAAAGAAAAGAAGGCAGCTCCAGACTCTTACCTGAGAAGCTGCCTCCAGAACTTTAAGACCGTAGAACCCCTGCTCCCCTCCTCACCAAACCCTTAAAAAGATAGGAAGTGGGGGCTTCTGAAAAAAAAAAACTAAAAACTTCCACAAGTGTTAATTCACAACAATAGAAGCAGGTATCTTATCTTTCTTAGGAGCAGCCGCAGGTCATTTCCTGGGGGCAGATTCCACCTGCTACATCACCAAGGAAGAAATGGGAGAATCTATTTTATAGACGGACAAGCCGAGGCCAAAGGACCCAGGACCTGCCCAGCAGAGCCTGTGTCTGCTCCAAATGCCTAACTGGCCACATCCTGACCTGCTCTCAACCCTTTGCGGCTGCCCACCACTCCCTGACAAAAACCAAGCACAGCAGCATGGCCCATGTGGACCTACACAGACCGCCCCCAACTCCCCCATCCCTGCATGGGGGGACTGGACCACTGTTCCTCCCAGGGGGTCAGGCCCATCTCACCACCCTGACTTTGCATATGCTGTTCCTTCTTTCTGGGACACACCTGCACTTCCCATTCACCTGGATAATACCAGATTCGTCTTTCAATACAGAGACATCACCTTCTCCAGGACGGCTGACTTGATGCCCCAGGCTGGCAGGTCCATCCTGTAGGCTCCCACAGCTTCCTGTACCTCCTGCCCTCATAGCCTTCACCACACTGTCTTGTCATCACCTGTCACCTCCCTGCCTGTGGCTCCAAGGGGACATCCGTCTTATCTGCCTTGGTATCTCTAGGACATGCTCAGATCTGGCAGAGAGATGGCCCTTCTCATGCTCTGCCGAGACTCAGGGAAAAGGTGAAGCTGCATCCACAGGTCTGAGGTTTCCAGGGCGGCCCACCGCCTGCGCCTTCTGTCCTCTAGCGCTCTCCCGTCACATTCCCAGAGACTCAGTGGGAGGTTTGGGGGCCACAGCCCAGCAGGGAAGAGGAGGCGGCAGAGATGGGAGAAAGGGAGGAGGCCACAGAGTCTCCGAGGAACAGGCCGCCGTCGGCCGCGTGGTGTGAAGAGCGGGGCAGACTTCACCGCGGCATGCACGGCCAGATGGCTCCGTGCAACGCCCAGATTAGAGTGGAGAGGTTCGAGGGGAATTTCCTGTTTATGACATGCATCTGGCTTGAGCCCCTGCAGTGAGGCGCACGCAGATGTCAGAGTGGTGGGGAGATGCGAGAGGGGCCCACAGGCCGAGGGCTGCCCAGGGAGAGCAAAGGGCATCTGCTAGAAAATGCCGGGAATGATGCCAGCTCCCAGCCTCCCCTGTCCGCCTCAGCCCCAGCATACACCTTTGCAGCACTCAGAGAAGCCCTCTCTGCTGCCCGGGCAACGCCCTGCTTCACGGTACATGTTCCCCATGCCGCTATGCACTTTACCACACCTGCCGTTA